GTGCAGGTAAGCTTTTATTTGTCACCTATTGTTATTGCCGGGCATCATTTCTGTGTGATAATGGCTGTGTTGATGGATTGCTCTGTGACGGGAGGGGGGCCGTGTTTGGGTCTGCCTGGCATCCTGCCATCCACTCAGCCTCTTACAGTTCCTACTCTGGCACCATCATCGATAATAGTAAATGTGACAGAAAAACAGAAGCCTCTTCACTACAGTGTCAGCGGGTTTCAAATCACAGAAGCCTTGGAAAGGATGGCTGATGAACTGTGCAGTTTGCAAGTGTGGAAAAACAAAGGTATACAGTGTGACCGTTTGTTACTGTTAACAATAAGTGACAGCTATCTGTTAATCTCTTATTATAAACAAAACAGGTTGAAGAATTGGATGAATGCTTTAATATTTATTGTGTTATTTTTGTACCTGCTTCATACTTGAACACACAAAGAAGGATGCGCCTCATTTCTTTTTGTTGTATTAAAGGAGAAAGGAAGGCTGAACACAGACAAGAGTGGAGCTTATCTTCATGTAGAACTATTAATAGTGAACGTAATATTGTAACTACTGCTACTACTTTCTGAGCTAACGAGCGATCCTTGAGCCCATGCTAGGTAAGTCAGCCACGGTCTGCTAGCATAAAGTTTGCACACAAGAGCTTTTGCATCTGAAAAATGAAGCTAATGTAAAAAGTCCCTTAATATGAATTCTAATGGCCAGCAGGTGTTGACTCCTCTGGTTGCACAAGTCTAATTGTACAGAGGTCTATGGGAAGGCATGAATTTGGCTCAGTTCATCGATGACCTCAGTAAACACATTTCTAATAAGTTTATGGTCTCATTTAATACAACATGACACTTTTTTGTTAGTCATTTCCCCCAGTCAAAACGGGGGAAAGTCAAAAAGAAGGATTGATAAGTCACTACAGGATGAGCATGCAGTGCAGAGATCTATCAAGTCCTCATCAGGATTCAAAGACACACAGCAAGGTGCTCAATATGCTAATCAGGTCATTGATTTTTTTTCTTAGAAAAATCAGTCGCCCTATAAGTATCTCTTTAGTAGATTAAGTTACAAAAAGCGTTCCTTCTCCTTGAGCCTAGTCCTACCAGAGAATATTTCCTGTTAAAGAGAAGTTCTTCCTCTTCATCATCGCCGTTCTTGCTCACAGGGTCTCATCAGATTGTTGCCCATGTAATATTTTGGTTTTATCAGGATTTTATTCTGGCTCTATATAATAAAAAACAGAATTGAACTGAAGTACATTATGACATTTTTAACCCAAAAGGATACTAGATGTCAGAAAGAACATTGACAAACATTATGACCACATAAAACGATGCTTTCATGTGACCTTCTGCAGTAAAGGAAATTACAGACCGTGATATTACGTTTTTTTTATGGATTTCGTTAAGCTTGATAATGAGAAACGAAAGAAAGAGCATCATGGGAGAACACTGCGCTCTTAAGGATTATCTGCCACCTCGGGCCAAACGAACAAATTTGCAGAGTTCACATCGTTTCTCAGTTCTCATTGGAACCTGTGTGCACATGCCCAACACTAATCTCCATTCCTGGTATAGTGGGAAATAGTAATGTCACATTTTATAAGCAAAGATCAAGTAAATGGAGAGAATGACAGCTATGTTAGAGACGTGCAGTCAGTCTGCCTCCTGCTTTTACACACTAATGTCGTAACAGACAAATACACCAAACATCTCAGGAATGAAAAGAGAAATTGAAAAATAGAACCGGTTTGATGACTCTCCTAAAAAGCTTCAAGGGCACACTGGGTTGTGAAGTCACACGTAGGAGATTAATTGGCTGACATCTCCAACTTCTTTGGCCATTTAAAAACACTGAAATGAGCCTAATGCTGACTAAATCCTAGGACTGATGACGTGGACCGTCAACAAAAAGGGCAGAATGTGACCTTTCCAGAGGCTATTTATGAGGCCAACATTAACAAGCAACAAAATTTGTTTTGCCCAGTCAGGGTTTCAAATGTCAGACATGCTGCAGTCTGGATCCCATTTTGATCATTCCATGGACAATCTGAGAAATACCTCCTGGAAGGCGATGCAACAAACAGCAAAAACAGACAATGTGTGCACAACCTGCCCTATATGTAGGTGATGTGCAGGACACAGGAGACAGCAAAAAAGTTATGCCTTCATGAAGACCTAGCAGAGATTCAGTCCAATAAAATCTATGCTATTTGCAACTTTTATGTATTTTATTATTGACGCTCAGGAATTTAAGGGAAATTAAATTAAACTTTATGGCTTAAACTTCTGGTCAACCAATCTGCAATAAACTGCAGCAGTCTTTCCTATGAGAAAAACAAATGCCAATACCGTTGCACCATCTTGCACGCAAAACTTCAGAAAATATCCCAAACATGGAAATTACAGGGCGTTTGTCTGATCCTTTAATTTGACTGGACACACAAGCATGCGAGCTGGGATGTCTGTCAAGTATTTTGAGTAAAGAAGCAAAAAGAACACAAAACAAAACAAAAAAAAAATCAGTGGGCAGAGCTGCAGGGAAATTAGTCATCCATGTCAGCCATCTTGGCAGACATCCTATATTTGATGTTGACTGTGAGAACTCCTGAGAGAATAGGAAAGCAAGTAAACCATAACAAGACTGTGATAATATACGGACTATAACAACACTGCGGTACGTACCCATGGTGGCAGCTCTGTGGTTGGCACACTTTGCTTCACCGCTTTCTCCTCCTGCTGCAGGAACGCTAAGGCACGGTTTATCCTGTAGTCCCCGTTGCCATAGTTCTTCCTCCAGTAGAAAAGCATTGCAAGTCCAATCAGAACCCAGCTAAAGCTGAATTCAAAATATCCCAAGACGTAGATAGGAAATATTAGGGCAAAAGTCTTGGCAAAGTTAATCCACATTTGAGTGACATCTGTCAGGGATGATTGCTGCTCTTCGGCCAGCTCTTCTGGGGACAGAGGGGCGCCCATTGTACTTGTGGGGGTGTTAGGTTCTGCAATGGGCCCATTGGCTTTGGCACCCTCTCCCGCTGAACCGTCCATCTTGTTACTCATTTCCCCTCTGGAAAAACAGTAAATTACAAGAAAATGTTAGTGCTTATTCACACGCTACAGAAGCAGAAGCAGACAAAGCTCCAACTGTTTTTTTTACTACAATACTACAAAGAAAAGGCCCTGTGGCTGCAAGATTTCCATCTCCATAAACCAAATTCTAAGAGATGAATGGAGACACAGTTATGCCCAAAGGAATAAAACTACTTTAAGCTTGACAGTGTGACAAGAAACTGAGAAATGATCCCCTCAAATGAACACCAAGATTGATATGTAGTCATCTCTTTTAATTAAGAATTGACTTTAGTATTTAAAACTGGATGAGAAATGTTGGTGAAAGAAAAGAATCCAGTAATAACAACCACAATTTCTATGTTCAAAAGTAAACACTAGAAGGTTTTCGGACCAAGTATAAAAAGAGTAACATTTATTTTTGATGTAAAGCGCTGGTATACATATAAAAATCTCCAATTTAGTAGTAATAGGCCTTCTCCAGAGGATCCATGTTGTCTTAATTCCCCTTCAACAAGCAGGCTGTAGTAGCCTGGATGCAAATGACAGAAAAATACATTAAAGCTGCAAACTAATCCCCGTTAAACAAATCTCTACAAGACAAGAAAATCTTCTTCTTGGCCTGCAGTGTAAATCAATACAGACTACAGGCTAAGCTGTCGTTTATCTTTTTCTCTCGGACAAAACTCCCTTACAAAAATGCCATTTTTTTTGTCTCTGAGGAACAGGGAGAGAGTACGCTTTAGATATAAACGAATTTATTACTTGTAGCAAAACAATTAGAGTCACTCTTTAATTCGGCATATATTCATTGCATCCCCTCGCATTTCTACGGGAGTACTTCAACTTTGAAAAGTGCCTCACCCGTCTTCGCTTCAGCCTTACGCTGCCAAAACACAGTGCAGTGGCTAGCACCGACAAGTGTGAAGGCGTCATTAAAGTACACTCTTTACTGCTAAATGTGTTATTTTATGTGGCTATATGCGAGCCGAATAAAAGAGCATCAATGATTAAATCAGAGTGTACTTACACGATTCATAAAAACGTACATAACTTGACTGTTAAATAGTGCAAGTCTTAAATCCTCATTTCTTAGATGGAGTCTGACGCCCCAGAGTGACACGTATTAGGGCTAGGACTTCACCTACCAGTAATACGTGCATCAAACACCAACCGAAAAACAACTTCTTTTTCTTCGCTTACCGCCAAGGAAGCGTCACACTCACCGGTATCCACCTGCGACATTCGCTG